CCCCCTCCCCCGTCCGTTCCGTCAGTCCAGTGCTGGAGGATCGGAGCGGGGAGGGGAATCCAGCCGTGACAGGATGGAGAGGTGAGCGAACGCCGGCATGTGTTCGCTCACCTCCCGATCTACTGAGCCGACCTGTGACAGTCTCATTGTCACAGGTCGGCTAGAACTATGAGGTGAGTGAAAAGCACTCACCTCGTAGTTCTCCTTTTTAAGCCATTTGTTAATTTGCCTGCCATTAAATAAAATAGAATACAGGACTAACACATTGTTCTGTGTTGGGATAGTCCCAGCCCCCTTATACAAGTATAGAAGCCTAATAACATATCAAAAGGACGGTATAGAAAGCCTATGACCTCTGGGCTGTGCAGCCAGCAGAGCTGAAGCCAAGAGGTCACAGAGAATCCAAGACCTGCACTGTGTCTGTGCAGCAGCTGAAGAAACCTTTTGCAAAAGCCACAAGAGATCTAGTTTGAAAGTGTGTGCTTGCTTTAGTTTTAACTTACAATTTTAGAGTGTTTACATTAAAAAAATAATTTCTGCTTTTAAGTGCCACCCCCTCCTGTCACCAAAACCCCAACCATGTCATTTAACTGTAGAATGCTAAAACATGAATGAAGGTATTTGATAGTGAATTGATGGAGGTGGGGCTTAGTGACAGGGCAGGGGGATTATAATATCGACAAGCAAAGGTTGAGGCCTCATGTACAATCTGGGCCCAACATTCAGAGGGCTCTACAAGGTACCTGCAAGCATGCAAGTTGCTTAACGTTTAGCACTATTGTTACCTCAAATGGTTTTGGTCAGGTTCACTTTAAAGCACAACCCCAGACACAATAATCTTACCAGGGTTAAAGCAGCTATGCATTCCTTTTGCCTCAAAAGCAACTCCTCGTCCTGTTGGCTTTTTTACATTCGTAAAGTCTGCTCGTTAACATGTTGGAATAGTACAGCTCCTGCTGTGCTTCCAGGGCTGCTTACATGTAAGCGATGCATGCCTCATAGAAGGGGGCCGCTCGGATGTAAGCGATGCATGCCTCATAGAGGGGGGCCGCTCGGATGTAAGCGATGCATGCCTCATAGAGGGGGGCCGCTCGGATGTAAGCGATGCATGCCTCATAGAGGGGGGCCACTCGGATGTAAGCGATGCATGCCTCATAGAGGGGGGC